GTTTCGAGAAAATAGATCTTACGTGAGTCAGCCAAATGAATAAAGATACGCTCGAAGAAAGAGTCATCAGTTGCAGCAGGAAATAAAGCTTCTTCATCCAAAATATGCATCAAACCACGTTTCTCGGCGCTGCGAAGTTCGATGTCAGCACAGTTCGACTGAAATGCTATTTTATGAATGCAATTCAGAAAAACATCGAATGCAAATTTCACAAAAAAATTTTACAGTGAAGATCGCCAGTGAAAAATGTGCCCCTTTGGGCACCGTTTCTTTTAATAGCCGTATTTTTTATTCGAAACAAATTAAGTTACAACTTAATGAATTAATCGCCAACTGCTCCAGTCCGTTTATTCGAACGTTACACCTAAACTACTAGGGAGATTCTTTATGAAACTTGTCCGGATGTAGTAAAGTTGGCAGCCAGTCGCGGCATCTCTGCCTACTTTTTCTAACATGATGAATGCCTCCCATTAAACTCCTTCCTATCGAATATAAGTTACCAGTCTTCGAATTTTTAAGAATGTACGATTTCATGAACCTGACGATGATTATTAAGCCATTAATATGTTGCTCATGCTCATCTTTTAACCGTGAAGATAAGCAACATATTAATGAATCTTGCCCTCCTCTTCGTTCTCGTCATCACTCATCTTGAAAAACTCAAGCACAAGAATTTTGAAAAAAAAAAAACATGAAGTCAGTGCTTGTAGCAGGAAACACAACTGTTGCAATAACATTTTTATGCACTTTCTGCATCTATGCAATTCAGAAGGCGCATATTGGCAAGGGGCTGTCTGTGCCTGTCTGTATGTGTGTTCGTCTGTACCGATTTTCCATCTTGAGACGTACAAAATCTACAAGGCTGAAACTCTGGGAAATTAATCTATATACATGTATGGGTCCTTACCCCCAAAATGGGCGCTCTCACCCACGTACGGGCCCGCCAAAGCTTTTTACGGGCAAGCTGCTAACTCGTTAACCAGGGAAGCCGGAAAGCTGAAATTTTAAGGGACGTTCCCCGCCCACGTAGG